GCGTGGCGGGCGGGACCTTGCACTCGGCCTCCGCCTGCTTCCGGCGGCTTTCGCTGAGCTGCGTCTGCAGCCCCTTGTTCTGCGCCGCCAGGTACTGGAGCTTCTCCTGCAGCGCCGCGCGCTCCGCCTCCACGCGGTTCAGCAGGTTGCGGTGGATGTTGTCCTGGCGGAGGGCGGACGGCGGCGGTCAGGGACGGCGGGGCCGGCCGCGGACACCAGGCCCCCTCCCCCGGGAAGCGGGCCTCGGGCCCACCTGCGTCTCGAGTTCCACCACGCGCTGCCGCAGCTCGCGGCCCTCGGCCAGGGCCTGGGCCTCGCGCAGTCGCACGCTCATCAGCTCGTCCTGCAGCTCGCCCAGGACCAGCTTCCGCGGGGACTCCTTCCAGCGGCCGCCGCGGGACAGATGGGCCTGGGGCGGGCCCGACGGTCAGCCGCCGCCCAGGCTCCTGGAGGGGGCGCTCCGCCCGCCCGGCGCCCGGCGGGCCCTCACCTGCCAGGTGTCCGAGAGCTCCTGCAGCTGCAGCTTCAGCTCTCGCGCCGAGGCCACCGCCTCGCCTTCCCGCACCTTGAGCGCCTTCAGCTCCTCCTGCAGCCGCGCCACGTTGTTCTCGTCGGGCAGGGAGCTGTTTCTCTGCGTGGGGGAGAGCGGTCAGGACCTGGGGAAACTGCGCAGCCTTGGGGAGCAGGACCACGGGGAGGAGGCCCCGCCGTTGGAAAACCGGTGCCACAACAGCACCTACTCTCACGAGGCTGTCCTAGGGCAGCCCCTTAAGTCGTGGGTCCTCCATAAATGTTCCTGCTAAGAATACCAGGCAGGCTGGGGAAGTGAGGGGTGAAGGCAGGAGCTCACCTCCCTCAGGGACGCCATCGGACTGGGGACCTGCCCCGGCAGAGGGGCCCTGTGCTCCTCCCAGACCAGGCCAGACAGCCCCTCTCCCTGGGAACAGGTCGAGCACCCGCCTAGGCCCTGTCCTGGTGTCTCAGGGTTCAGTGAGGGGGAATCTGTGTACCAGTCTCTCGAACCAAAATCCAGCTTACAGGGTGAGCTCCGCATGACCCACATGCTTGGATCTAGGGGTGGGACAGATCTAGCGGGATTGACTGAAGACACATGTTCTTCCCATGTGGAGGGAGGCGGGGGCGGGGAGGAGAACCCAACTCTTGGCTGGTGATGGGACCTGAGAGCTGGATGGCCTCTCGATTCTCCATGTGGGAGGATTGTCCAAATAGTGCAGGCTCTGGGGGGTGGGGCACAGCCCCTGCAAGCTGAGTGGATGGGTCCCAGGGCACCTCCCTTCCTCTGGCAACTCCATGGGAAAGTGGGGTCAATGCAGATGCTCAAAGCCATTGGGGAGGGACTCGGGAGCCTGGTACCCCCTCTAGGGCTGCAGGCAAGAGAGTGTGGACCCCAGTCTGTCCCCAGGTGGTCTCTCTATGGGTGTAGGGCAGGTGGCAGTCCTAATAAGCCTGGGCCTTCTCTCCTTCCTATCCTCCCCCATCCTTCCTTCCCAGAACCCAGGGCCTGGGGGAGACACACACAGGTGCGATGGGGCATCCAGGAAGCCCATGGAAGCCAGCACACTGTGGGTGTTTGCCTTGTACATGAGGGTGGGAGTGCCCATGGGGGATCATGCTGTGTGTGTGCAGGCAAGCAGGCACGAGTGTGTGCACATGCATGTGTGTGCATGTGTATGAATGTGTGCAAGTGTGTGCACGTGCATGAGTGCACAGCATGAGTGTGTGCATGTGCATATATGTGCATGAGTGTGTGCACATGTCTGAGCATGTGTGCATGCCCCTCCGGGCTTGGGAAGGTCTGTCAGTGAGGAGCCTAACTCCTCGACCTCCCCAAGGCCCTCCTGTGCGATCATGTGCTGTGGAGCCCAGGGATTGGGAGAAACCCTGGGCTCCACAGCAGCAGACAGGAGGTCTCTGCAGCAACTGATTGGCATGGGGTGGGGTATCCTGACCCGGGTTCACCCCCAGAAGCTTACTCAGGACCCCTTCCCCTCCCTCGGGATCACCTGCCATTCCATCGCACCTTCTCCATGTCTAGAACCTTGTCCTGCATCTCCCGAAGGGCCCCCAGTGTCTCTGTCTCCCGCAGCTTCGACTGCTCCAGTTCCGTCTCCAGGTGGGCCACGAAGTCCTCTGTGAGGCGTGGGTTCTCCTGGGGGAGGCAGAGGGCTGCTTGGGGCCCTCGACCATGGCTGGGGGGTGGGCAGCCTCCATGCTAGCGGGCTGTGACCCCTTCCTCAGAGCCCCTGAGCAGGGAGGGAGGCCCAGGACTGGGGCGTCCTGGGCTGGACCCCATGATGTTCTGTGCCAGAGGGTCCTGGCACATGTGCAGCTGGCCTGGCCCAGCTCTTTCCCTGAGAAGGCCACAGAGGGGACACCATGAAGGCGACTTGCCATCGCCTCCGGATGTCCTGGGGGGATGCCAATGGTTGGTGTCCCAGGATTGCCAGGGGCAGAGGATGGGTTCTTGCTGTGGGGCCAATGTCCTAACCACACGATGGGATGGCTGTGGTGGGTGGGGCTGGGGTTGCACATCCTCTCTCCTCCTTCCTCCGTTCGTTCCCCCATTTCAAAGCAGGAAAGAATTGGCAGAGAGTTTTCAGGGATCTCTCTCCTGCTCGGTACCCAGAAGGCTTCTCAGAGGTGCCCCAGTATGGCCCCAGGAGGGGTAGACGCTGCTCCTTGGGCCTGACAAAGGAGACCTGGCCCCTGGGGTCAGGGGCAGGGGCCCCTCTCCCTGCCACATGGCTGGTTCTCTGCAGGACTGCCCCAGTCCCCCTAGTCACCATCATCTCCTTCCTGTGATTCTCTTTTTCTTTTTCTTTGAGACAGGGTCATCTCGACTGGAGTGCAGTGGCAAGATAATAGCTTGCTGGGCTCGGTGGCTCAGCCTGTAATCCCGCGCCTTTGGGAGGCTGCGGTGAGTGGATTGCCTGAGCCCACGGGTTTGAGACCCGCCTGGGCAGTGAGATCTCATCTCTTCAATAAATAAAAAAATCAGCCGGGCGTGGTAGCGCATGCCTGTAATTCCGGCTACTTGGAAGGCTGAGGCGGAAGGATCGCCGGGGCCCAGCAGGTCGAGGCTGCGGTGGCCGGGAGCGGCCACTGCACTCCAGTCTGGGCGACAGAGTGAGACTCCAACTCAAAAAAAAAAAAAAAAAAAGATAATAGCTCACTGCAGCCTTGACCTACGGGGCTCAAGTGACCCTTCCCACCTCAGCCTCCCAAGCCTCTGGGCCTACAGGCTTGCACCACAATGCCTGGCTAATTTTTTTCTTTTTTCTTTTTCTTTTTGTAGAGACAAGGTCTTGCTATATTGCCCAGACTGGCCTTGAAATCTTGAAATCCTGGCCTCAAGCGGTCCTCCTGCCTCAGCCTTCTAGAGTGCTGGGATGACTGTGAACCTCTGGGCCTGGCCTCCTGTGGGTCTCTGAGATCCACGTGTGCTAGTGGACCTGCCTTGGCTCAGATGGGTTCTAGACCCCGTGCAGCCCCAGCTAGGCTGTGCCTCCTCCAGGACACCTCCTCCTACCTCAGTGGCATCCCTTTGGACCTGAGGAGGTAGCCCTGGACTTCACCCATCTCCGTGTATTGCCAAGCCTGGAGCTTGGGGGTGGCTGGTAGAATCTCTACCTGAAAGGGTGGGTGGGATGAGCCCTACCTCAGTTTCTCAAGAGCATGCTGCCTCAGGATGAGCTGGGACTACAGGACCCTCAGGCTCTGAAGGTCACAGTGGAATGTTACACTGATGAGGCTCAGAAGGGAGAAGTGAAAAACTGTGTCATCCCACCTCCCTGCCCCAGGAACAGGGAATCCACTAGAATTGCTCGGCCAAGGCCTGAGCCAAGATCTCCAGGCCTGGGGTGGGGAGGGACCTACTTAGTCCGTGATCTTCCTTCTCAAGCACCCTTGTTTTTCTCCAAATTAGGAACCCACATCCTAATTTGCTGGATGAGGCCTGGATGGCAGGGGTTGGCAAGGCCAACAACATCCCTCCTGCCCCTCCAGGGCATGAGTGTGCCCGCGAGGGCTTGGGGGCAGCAGATACTGAGTGCCTCTGATCAGGAAGGCCACCTGCTAGGTACAGCCACAGCGAAGTTCTAAAAGCCCCCTCTTAGAGAAGCGGACTCTCTGGGCAGGGCTCCAGCTGGTGTCCAGAGTTCATGCTCACAACAGACTCGGGGTGCCCCCTCGCCCCCACCCCACCTGCTCAGAGCTCTCAAAACAGCCCCTGACTGCCCTGCTAGCCTCTTCTGAGAACAAAGTCCTGGGCCTTGGAGGAGGAAACGCCCATCTTTTGTGGCTGGTCCTCAGGATTAGCCCAACTGTCCTTCAGACCTGGAGAGATACAAGGGCTCTCCAAGGAGTCACAGCCCGATGTGCTGTGGCAGTGCCTGGGTTAGGGAGGGGCCCTGCAGGGACAGCCTGGTCCTAGGTTCTCCGTGCTGAGGCCCCAGAGGCAGACAACGCGGACACCCTGGCGGGCGGTGGGAAGTGATGTCCCTGAGTCTGGGGCTTGCTCGCTGCTGGGGGGGAATCTGCACTCGTTTCTGGGTTCCCCCACCCCAGAAAGGGACGAGAGAGCCTGGCGCTGAGGAAGGGCAGGCCTGAGCCGCGACGGCAGCGGGGCGTGGCCCCGCCCAGAGGCCCCGCCCACCCGCCACGTGGCTCCGCCTACCCGGCGCGGTACCTGCTGCTCCTGCAGCTGCCGGATGGTGCTCTGCGCCCTCTGCAGGTCCTCCGCCGCCGAGCTGCACTGCTGTCGCACCACTGCCAGCTCCCGCTTAATGACGTAGTTCTCCTCCGCCTCCTGCGCCCGTGTCACCTGTCCCTGAGCACAGCGAGGACAGGGAGCGTGACCCTCGGCTCCCATCCCAAGCCCTGCCTCCCACCACAGGGAGAGGCCCAGAAAGGGCGGAGGCGGGGGGGGGAGCTGAGAAGGGGAGGCCGCCTGCACTCAGAGCCTGGGATGGGGCGCTCCCTGGGCCTGGGGACGCGGGTGGGGGACAGGCAGGAGCAGGGCACCCGCAGGAGCCTGGGAGAAGACCCGCTCCCGGGCTCAGGCTCTGTCAGGCCCCGGCTTCTGAAAGCGCCGCCCCTCCCCCATCCTGGCCCTAGGTCTTTGCCCAGGTGGGGAGAAGAAAGGTCTATATCCAAGGCCAATGGCATAAAAGGGGCCACCTCTGCACATTCGTGCTGGGCTTTGCCTGTGATGGTGGAGGTCTCGGGACAGCCAACTCCCCAGCGGCTCTGGGCTTGGTTCCGGTGGGCTGGGAGGTGGAAAACACTTCTCCCAGGGTGCCTTCTCCAGTCCTGGGCTCTGGGGCTCCCCTCCCTTCACCCCACTCTCCTCCCCCACCCAATTTGGGCCCCCCATTCCAGGCTCGGAGCCACCAGGTGGCAGGTGGAAGCTTCCAGATAAAGCCATTCAAGATGAGGTGGCAGCAGAAGCAGGTGAGCGAGAGAAGATGGTAGCTGTGCAGGTAGCAGCAGAGAGCAGCAGCCTGAGGGACCAGAGATGGTGGTGGTGGTGGTGGTGTGTGTGTGTGTGTGTGTTTGTGTGTGTGAGTTCAGTGCAGTGCACACACCAGGGCCTGAGGTGGATACGCTCTTGGGATCCCCAGCCCTCCTGGGTCCCTACCTATGTCCCCTGGAAGGAGGAGGCTTCCTGTACATGCATGTACATTCACACCCAAACACACATACCCACAGGCACGCCACGTTTCTCCCTGCTTCACATGCCCCCCCAGGAAAGCCTTATGTCCCCAAAAGCAGTCCCCAGCTGCCCCCATGCATGGTGCCAGGCCTGCCCCGAGAATGGCAGGGAAGAGGCGGTTACTGGCTGTCATGTGCAGGGAGCAGGGAAGGGGCCAGGAAGGAACCCAGAGAAGGGGACAAAAAGCTACCGTACCTGGATTAACCTATCAGCCAGAGCAGCGCTCTCCTACCCGGCGAAGGGGGTTCCCAGCGACAGGGGGAGGAGGCAGAGCGGAAGGCGCAGGGACAGGAGAGGGGGAGAGACAGACAAGAACCACTTGTCACTAACGCAGTGGACTATCTCTAGAAGCGAGGGAGAGAGAAGACCAGAGAACCAGCAGGAGAGGACCCGGAGGAAGGCCAAAGCCAGAGTCCAGGAGGGGGGTTTGCTTGGGAGCGGGGGAGGCTGGGTGGCCATGGCTGCAGGGAGGCTGCAGGGCTGAGAACCAACTGTCCTGCCTTCCATGGCAGCCAGACGTGGGTCAGCTGGGAAAACCCCACCCTAGGAATGTCGGCCTCAGGCAGGAGCAAGGAGGAGTCTCCCCTGGTGGGAAGGGAGGGAAGGGGGAAGGGGTGTGTTTTAATTTTAAGGCAGAACATGGCTTTGGGGTAAAGGCCACAGGATCCTGCTCATGACCCACTTTCTGTGGCCAGTGGAGGGTCAAGTGAGGACAAGGGAGGAGCAAGAAGTGAGCACCCTGGGACTGGGGCTTGGTAAACCCCCAATTCCACTCCCATCTTTAACATGTGGGGACCAGGGTCGAGGCTGTGGCTCCCCACCATGGTGCCGCCTTCCTCCTCCACTTGGTCGCCTTTCTTTTGAGGGCGAAGGGCGAGACTTCCAAATTACAGGGTGGAGTGCCTTGTGGCCCAATTACGGGACTCCGGCATGAAAGCATAGTCCTCCCCGCCCCCGCTCCCCGCAAGCAGCCTGAGAGGGCGCTGGACACACATGGCTTCCCATGGCGGCAGTTCACCGGGGTGACAACTCAGCCCCAACCTCTGGGCTCATCATAATGCGAGTGGACGCCAGTTATAGGGCACCCCAGTTGGGTTCAGGGCCAGGCCTGGGCCTGTGGCAGAGGGGCAGGGCTTTTTGGTCCTCGGAGAGGGAACGCCCGGTGGCGACCACGCCCCTTGTGATGACCACGCCCACACCAGCCACACCCGTGACGCCACACCCCTCACCTTCTCTAAGGTTTCAATCCGTTGTTTCAGGAGCCTGTTCTCCGTCCGAAGCCTCTATGGGTGGGGGGAGGGAGAGCACGTCAGAGCCCGCTCCCCACTCCTGCACACACACCCCGCAGTCCACTTAGGGGTCTGACCATTTCCGGGCAGAATGGAGCCAGCATCTAACATTCTGAGTCAGTGATTTCAGAAAACAGGGCCAATTCCTGTTCAGAATAGCTCATTTCAGAAAGATTTTTTTTTCTATTTTTTTAAAAAACGAAACTTGGTTCAGTAAAAATAACATGAGTGCTTTCGTGGCTCTTTGTATGTGTGTGTGAGGGGCGGGGTTCGGTCAGCACCCACACCCTCCTCAGATGTCTGTTTCCATCCAGGCTTGGGTCAGTCAAGGCAAAGGTCTTTGAATTTTCAGGGAAAACTGAGATCAAATAGCCTGTGCCCCTCATAGCTCTGGGTTTGATTCTTGGGGACGCACCCCTCCTGGAGCTTGGCTCCAGCATGCTGATCACCACCCTTCCCCAACAACTGCATTCCTGTGACCCGTGGAGAGCAGCTGTCCCCAGTGGTTGTCACTTTCCCCTGGCTGGGGCTTCCGAGATGCCTCCCTTGCTTTCACCTACCCTTCTGTGCTGATGGATTTTGGTTAGATATTTGCAGTTTTAGGCTCCCCTGTGACCCTCTGGGAAGCAGGTGAGTTTTACACACATGTGGACTCTAGCCTCCACCTGCATCCCAGCTGTGAAGGAGGCCAAGAAATAGTTTGGATCAGCAGACGAGTGAGGGTCCTGCCTCGCTGTGGGTCACACAACATTTCCTGGGTTTCTCTGGGGAGACCGGTGATAGAAACACCAGAACATTCCCAGGAAGCAACTGCAGCCAGAAGAATTACATACTTGCAAGTCATTGATTCATGTCATGGGTGGGGAAACTGAGTCAGGGTGGGGCAGGGCCTTGTTTGAACCTCTCAGCTAGGCTGGGTTAGAGCTCTTCCAGGCACAGGTCTCTGTCCCTCTTAGCAATCCAAACTCTGACCTCTGACCCCTAGATTGCCTTGCCTTCTCTTTGGCTTCAAACATCATACCACAAGCAGAGCTATCCTTGCAGGAGGTAGACACACCTGACCAACAACTCCCCTTTTCCTGCTCACTTCAAAGCGAAAACAAGAGAAAGAAGGAGTGAATACTACATGGAGCTACTAATCATCTTTGTTTTAACATGTTCCCTCCCTCCCTCCCTCTCTCCCTCTCTCCCTCTCTCCCTCTCCTTTTTAGAGATAGGGTCTCACTCTGTGGCCCAGGCTGGAGTGCAGTGGTGCGATCATAGCTCACTGCAGGCTTGAACTCCTGGGCTCAAATGATCCTCCTGTGTCAGCATCCCGAGTTGCTGGGTCTACAGGTGCGCCCCTGTATTTTATTGTATTTTATTTTCTGGTAGAGATGGGGTCTCTCTATGTTGTCCAGGCTGGTCTAGAACTCCTACTGCCTCGGTGCCCCAAAGCACTGGGATTACAGGCGGGTGTGTTTTCTGATGCCTTGATGTCCTGGGGACTTGCTAATTCTGGAAAGAGTGCCATTCCCAGCACTAGCTATTTCCAGATATAGTAAACAACCTGCCTGCAAGTACGCTTTTCATCTACAAGGAAACCAATCCACCTCCTTTATCTCATTCACACACCAAGCTGGTATTTCCCCTGCCTCAAATCACCCCAGGGCCAGGTATTGGAAAATGGGGGATCACCCCAAAAGCCCAGAGCTGGCTGAAGTTATTCAAAGTAGCTGATCTTAGGCCAGCTCGAACTTGCCTGCCCGAACGTGCCTGCCCTGCATCGCTTGCTCCTGCCTGCAGAAACCACACTAAAGGCTAGCCCCTTCTGCCTCCTGACAGATCTTGGTACTTCCCTGTATGCCCTGCCTGGCATGACCTGATCTCCATGGGTGTTCTCCCTATAGCCTTCTTGAAATTCCTCCCGTCCCCAGGCACGCTGCTGCCTGGACCTTTGTTTTCTCTCTCTCTCTCTCTTTTTTTTTTTGGTTTAAGAGATGGGGTCTTGCTATGTTGCCCAGGCTGGTCTTGAACTTCTAGCCTCAAGCAATCCTCCCACCTTGGCCTTCCAAAGTGCTGAGATTATAGGCATGAGCCACTGCACCCTAGCTCCTCTTGAGAGCTGTTAGGTAAAGAACTCTTCTTTCGTAGCAGTTTTCTCTATGTCTGTCATGTTGCCTTGCCTGGCTCAGACGAATGCCTAGAATATTCTATAACCGGCTAAAAATGAAATCGCAAAGGGCAGGGCTGAGGGAGAAGGCACATGCCAGAATCCTTTGAGGCCTCCGAGGCTCTCAAGTTCCTCTCATAGGAAACTTCCAGGCTGGGCATATGGCTTGAGGGTCTGTGGCATCCTTGCCTACCACTGGGCCTCGTAGTCACAAGGTGGGAGTGGGCCCTTGTCTGTACATGAGCAACGCAGACATGTATTTGGACTGCTGTATCAGTTAAGACACCATTCCTGAGAAAGGAGGATTCTAAAAAACTCAGGATACAAAACTATTTCTGGAGAATCTTCAAACAGGGCCAGGACAATGATGCCTACTTTCCCCCTCAGATTCTGCCTCTGACTTGGATGAAGACAGTGACAGTAATAATGATCACTTGAACAGCACAGCAAACACCACCCCCGTTTTGCAGATGGGGACACTGAGACTCAGAGAGGTGAATTCATCTTCCAGGGTCACATAGTTGGTCCGTGGTGGAGCTGGGATTTGGCCTGTTGGACTCCAGTCTTAGCCCTTATGTGGTTCAGGCCCAGAAGAGGACAAAGCCAGGCTGTGCTGTGGTTTGGGTCTATACATGTCCCTCTCGGAGGACTAGGGGACTCTCAGTCCCAGCTTGTGACTCTGGCACACAGTAGGTGCTCAATAAATGCTTGCCGACAGGCCAGACCCTGGGAACATGGCGACCACTAAAATCATGTGTGGAAAGACACAAGGAGAGAGGCTTTGCACAGCTGGTGAGCCCCCTGACCTAGCAGGACTGGCAGGCCAGGCACCAGGGGACCAGGGCCCCCAGGTGGGTCCCCGTACTCTGACCTGGACACCCTGGCATCTGGCCCCTGTCTGCCCTGACCCTTCCCGGAGGGTGATCCCCTTGGGGGTTTCCCCCACAGCCTTCTTGAAATTCCTCCAGCCTCCAGACACGCTGCTGCCCGGGCCTTTACTCTTGATTTCCTGGGCCTGGAGTGCCCCGCTACCGGGGTCAGCCTTGCCCCTTCCATCTTTATCCAGAGCACGTTAGAGAGTCTGTATTCTACATTCGTGGTTTATTGCCGGCCTCCCCACGATGCTGGGTGCCCCATGTGGGTGGTGACCTTGGCTGTCTTGGTTGCTATGGTGTCTGCTGGGGCAGGCGCTCACATGCTGGCCTGGCAAGTGGAGGAAGGGACAGGTGGGCAGAGGGATGGCTCCGCAGAGCTGGGGCGCTGGGCAGCGCTGCCCCTAGTGGCTGACCTCTCGGTCCCCATCCCCCACCCACCTTCAGATCCTGGACTCACTTTGATCTCGATCTGCTCCTCCATCTCCTTGCTCTTCATGGCCGCATATTCCTTCTCCAGCCTGCAGAGGGGAGGGCCCATGTGGTCACTGTAATGCTTGCAGAGACTCCTGCCTTCCCGCCACACCCTGGACTTCTGGCACTGACCTCTTCATCTTCTTGGGGTTGTACTTGACCTGGTAGGCCTTGAGAACCAGCTTGTCTGGGCAGCTGTCGAACTGGTGGGGGATTACCCTCTGGAAATACTGTGAGGACACAGCTGGTCACTGACAGGCAGGCTCTGACTGCTGGGGACCACCGAGCCCCTACTGTATGCTGCTGCCCTGGGGGAGGGCAGGAACAGTCTGCCTGGGGTTTCGCCATGTTCCCAGGGTCTGGCCTGTCTTGGATGCTGGATCAGCATTTGTGGTTAGGAAGAAAGACTGTGTGGGAGGGGCGGGAAAGTGGCAAGTGCCTGTGGACAGTGCCTCAGTTTCTAGGAGGGAAGCAGGCCAAAGCTAGGCACAGTGGCTCATGCCTATCATCCCAGCACTTCGGGAGGCCAAGGCAGGAGGTTGACTTGCGCCCAGGAATTCGAGATCAGCCTGGGCAACATAGTAAGACCCTATCTCTACAAAAATATAAAAAGTAGCTGAGTATAGTGGTGTGCGTCTACAAGTTCCAACTACTTGGGAGGCTGAGGTGGGAGGACTGCTGAACCCAGGTGTTAGAGCCTGTAGCGAGCTATGATTGCATTGCTGCACTCCAGCCTGGGTGGCAGAGCAAGACTCCAACTCAAATAAAATAAAACATAAAAAAGCAGGCCGAGGAGGCTTTCGGGGTAAAGGTGGGGGTGGGAGGGTCTGAGCACAAGGGATCTTCGTGGAGAAAGAGGGGTAGCATGCCGGGCCCCCTCAACCCTCCGCAAAGGGTTAAGGTAAGCTGAAGGTGGCCACAGCTCCTGCCCCCAGCCCAGCTGGCGCTTTCTGGCAGCTGTGGACAATGGATGCCCGTGTTCATGGACACAAGCATGGCCTTTGTGTATTCTTCCCCAAAGCACCAGCTGGAAGACGTGGGGCGGGGCTGGAGCCTGCAGGCTGGGGAATGGTGGTGAGAGGCAGGTAGGCCTCTTTGCCAGTCAGCAAGGCCGTCAGGGCTGGCCGGGCCAGGCAGGGTGTGAGGCTGTCCCAGACCCCACACTCCCTCTTGGGCTCTGACCAGGCAGGGGGCTTTGGAAGTCATGTCTGAAGCCTCATGGTGTGGCTTCAGACGTGGTATGGCTTCATCAGAATTTGCCAGCATGCTTTTGGGGGCCTGGGGCAGGGGTGAGGGAGGACGAGGAGGGGGACTTCCCAGGGCTAGGCCTGGTCTTCCTCTCTCCCTGCTGCCAGGCTGCTGGCCCCAGACTGTCTCTGGAGGCTCCTTAGGGTCCCTCTAGCCCCTCAGGGATCAGAACAGATGGGAATGGATCAGAGATGCTCTCTCGAAGCTAGGCCCTCTCTCAGGAGGGCACGCCATGCCCGGATGCCCCCTGTGGGGGCAGTCCCCCAGCACTGGCCCTCCTGGCCCACCTGGGACATCCCCTCCATGTCCAGTTGCATCAGCTCCGTCTGGTTCACCTGCAGCAGGGCTAGGCCCACTCGGAACACAATCTCCAGCCCCTGCAAAGTGGTGGGGAGGGGGGCAGTGAGTCTCCTGTCCTGCCCCCCGGGGAGCTCTCTGACCCCACCCCGGGCCCCACCCTTCCTCCAATAAGTCGGGATTTGTTTGCAGGGTCGGATATGACCTGCCTCATCCAGAGTAGGCTGGGTCAGGGTTGGGGGACCCACTGGGCCCTCACCTCGTACATGAAGATGTCAAAGACTCGGGTGGCGACGGGCAGTGGGAAGGTGGTCAGGAAAAGGGTCAGGAACCAGGACGAGGCGTACATGGACGTGTGGAAGCTTTGGGAGCGGAAGTGGGTGTTGAGGTCCGGGAGTTGCTCCTGCAGGGGCCAGGAGGCAGGTGGGCTCGGTGAAGAGGGTGCCCTCCCGCCTGGGGGCACTGGGCTTCTGTGCCCCCAACCCTTCCCTGACCTGCCCCAGGGCTTCCTTCCTCCGTGCTCCCTTGGCACTGTGTTTTGGGGATGCCAAAGTTCCCCAGAGTTTTGAGTAGCACAGGGCGGGGACCAAGGCTGGGGTGGCTGGAGCCACAGTGGCTCGTGTCAGGTGCCCATGATGTAGCTCATGGGGTTCCTGTGATTTTCCTGAGAAGGGGCTTCTGAGGCTCAGGAGCTTGGGCCACTCCACACAGATGCCCAGAGAGCCAGAGCTGGAGCACAGGCAGGCTGTAGCCCCCATCCCCGATGAGAGCTGCCCCTGCTCACCATGTTACTTTTTGCCTATGTCTGTGCCCATCCATGTCCCAGGGCAGGATGTTTTATTCAGAACTGCGTTTGCTTGAACTCCGATGGCTGGAAAGTGACAGCCAGCCAGGGGAACTGAGGCTGGGGAAGGCATTAGGACCCTGGTGTTCTTCCCAGAGTTAGGAGCTCTCTGTGCCCTGGTCAGTTTGCTTGGCTGTGGGAGGAGGTCTAGGCCATCCAGTCAGGGGTGGGGTGGCACCTTCTCTGTGGCCCAGGTCCCCTGTGTGGGGCATTACCAGGCTCCCAGGAGCTACAACATCGCAGTGCTCCAGGGGGTGGGGCTCTCCCGTGTCTTCTCCAGGAGTGGGGCTCTCCCACCTCAGCTCGTCATGACCGCCGGCCCCACCTGCCATCAGTGTCTGGGGCAGGCCGGTGTGTGCGTGCCGGCGTGCGTGGGTGTGAGTGCCGACTCTGGCTCTGTCTGCCTGCGGGAGCGGGCCCTGCGGGGGCTGCTATTTATAAACAGACGTCTGCGGTTCTCTGGTAATCAGCAGAGGGAGGCAGACAACACTCCCTCCTTCCCCCACACTCAGGAGCAGACAGGGAGCGGGCTGTGGGTGTCGGACGCCAGCAGGTCCTACCACCCCGCCTCTGCAAGTGCCGGGTTCCTGAACTCCAGAGGGCTGGAAAGTGATAGACAGCCGGGGAAACTGAGGCTGGAAAAGGCATTAGGACCTTCTAGCACCAGGGCTCTCTGCACCCTGGGTTTGACAAGGCGGCGTAGTCTGTTTGCCGGGCTGCCCCAGGGGGACAGGATCCCCTTTCAGAGTTGAAGTGCCGGTGTGATTTCTCAGGCCTGGAATTTTCAGTCCGGGAGACTCCCCGGGCTGACTGGGGTGTCGGCCCCGCCCACCCGCGGCCCCGCCCACCTGCAGCATGTACTCGAACTGATAGATGCAGAGCCCCAGCTCCGCCATGCTGGGCTTGAAGAGCTCCCGCAGCCGGTACTCTTGCATCAGCCGCACGAACACACAGAAGGCCTCCTCCTCGGGCATCTGGGGGAACGGGCAGGTGGCAGGGACTCAGCGATGGGGGGGCAAGCTCGCTGCTCTTGTCGGGGACCTGGGGGATCCGTGTCTCTGCTTGGCTCCCTGGACCCTCACAACAAACCACTGGTTCTCGAGGTCCCCACTCCGTTTCGCTGATGGAAAGCCTGAGCCAGGCGTCACCTGCTCTGGGCCACCCAGCAGGAAACAGTGGCTGGACGTGAATCCAGAGCTGGCTGCTGCCAGTGCCCACTGGCTGGTTAGGACGCCCTCCTCTCCACTCCCAGCTCTGTCCTTTCTCCCTGACCTAAGCTCTCTAGTTTCTCTGGAGGAACCCCCAAGTCCAGTAAACACCACCCTGGCTGACCTAAGCCCCCAGCTGAAGGAGACAGTTGCCCCTCCAGCCCCTGTCACTGTCCTGGATGGTACAGTGGACGGGACCCTGCAGGAAAAGTGCCTGGGCTGCATCCACTCTCAGGGGCTTGGCCTGGGGATTGCCAGAGGTAGTAGGTGGGTGAGGTGTCTAGGAAGACACCAGACGGTGGACAGTTTGTCCTGTTCCTGGGGGTGGAGCCCAGGTGGGCTGGCTTGTGGTGCCTGGCCACGGGCCACCTACCTGCATAAGGAGAAGGCCCACGATGAAGGCGCTGCCCTGGCAGTAGCCCACCTCCCGGTCCACCAGCGAATACGCCTGCAAGGGAACAGCAAGGGAACAGCGCGGCGTGAAGGCAGATCCTGCTGCCGGCCCAGTCGGCACAGTCGGCTTATGGGGGAACTGCTCCTTCCGGGGGGCCAGGGTAGGAGCAGGGAGTGGGGAGCCCAGGCTGCACCTTCATGACGTTGAAGAGCACCTCCTGACCCAGGCTGTCCTGGCCCTTGAAGAACTCATGCTCCGGGTAGGTTCGGGCGATGTCCCTGCGGATCAGCTTCTCGCACGGCGAGGACATCTTGAGCAGCTCAGAGTACTGGTTCTTGACAGGCATGTCCGTGGCGCTGCACAGAAGCTGCCACACGATGGCCCGGAAATGGTGCGGGATGCCCTTTCGGATCAGCTCCTGGCCATGGGGTGGGAGCGGAAGGCCAGGCTGGACTCCATCCCAGGTCAGCCTCCCCACGGCCCCCAGTCCAGCCCTTCGGGTATGGCCTGCCCACGCCTCACTGGTGGCACAGAGCTCATCTGAGCCACTGTGCTGCAGACTGAGGGGCCAGTCCTTCCCGGACACTTCAGGGCAGAAAGCAGATGGGCCTCTCCAGCTCCAGCTCTTACTCTCCTGTCCCCATGCCCTGGAAGGACATCCTGGAAGTGCCTGCATGTCTTCACGGCCACCCCTTTGCCCAGGCTGGGCCCCACAGACCCTAGCGCTGCCCAGTGGCCAAGTGACCACGCTGGCCGCCCGCCCTGCCCGATCTGCCTGGCCGCCCGCGCCACCTTGAGCAGCTTCTCCTTCCTACGCCGCCACTCGTCCCACTCATTGGCGATTCGGCCCCACAGGATCCATGTGTCCTCCTCCAGGTGGCTCAGGTTGGAGGAGGCTGAGGAGCTGGACACCAGTGAGGAGCCGCTGTTCCTCCGTGAGCCGTTCATGGAGCGCATGGACTTGGAGTCCGCCTCCAGGAGCCTGGGCAGGAAGGGCGGCGAGGTGGTGCCAGTGACTCCTGGGATAGGGGCCTCTGGGAGCCTAGCCCCTCCTCCCGCTCCCAGGGGTCTCAGAGGACACCAGGCGCCCTGTTCCTGCTGAGTGAACTTGGCTGATGACCCAACCTCCCTGAGCCATGGCCCCTTCTGTGCCATCGGGACAGGCCTCTGTTCATGTCTCCAGTCTGCCTCGCAGCGGGCTGAGCCCGTGTGCATTCAGCTCGGTTAATTCTCACACCAGCCCCTCAGGGTGGGTTTGGGGATGACCTGGGCTGTATAGGTGAGGGGTAGAAAGATAGAGCACCACGGAGGGCATCTAGCTAGCAAGGGGCCGTCTCTAACATGTGTTTCAGATGCTTTGACATCTGGGACTGTGTTGACCCTGGGATGGCCCCTCCCACAGGTAGATAATCCCCATAGAGTGCAGGTCTGGCTGCCAGCATACCTTTCACAGCAAATTGACCAATCCAGAACCACACCCAACCACACTTCCTTTCCCGGGCTTTTGCACTTGGGGCCATTATCTGCCCCCCCCCAACCACCCCAGAGGGCCCCTGTGCCCCAGGGCCTGCCAAAATGACTCATACCAGCCAATCCTAAGCTTGCTTCTCCTGCCTTACCCATTCCTTCCTGAGGAAACCACAGTAAAGGCGCTTGCCCATAGTTCCCTCACTCCCTTGGTCTCCTGACCATCCCTGGTGCCACCCCATGTGGCCTTGTGTGGTGTGACGGGTCCCTCCTCTTGAGAACTGTATGTAACAAACTAACTTTTCAATCACAGTTGCCTCCCGATCTGTTGGCTTCACCAGACCATAATAACATAATATAATAATAAAATCTACATTTTATTTTTTTTTTAGAATTGGGCTCTTACTCTGTTGTTCAGTCTGGAGTGCAGTGGCATGATCACAGCTCACTGCCACCTGACTTCCTGGGCTTAGGTGATCCTTCCATCTCAGCCTCCCGAGTAGCTGGGACTATAGGAGCACACCACCACACCCAGCTAATCTTTTGATTTTTTTTGTTGTTATCTAGGCTGGTCTTGAACTCCTGGGCTCAAGCAATTGTCCAACCTCAGCCTCCCAAAGTGCTGGGAAATTACAGGTATGAGTCACTGTGCCCGGCCCTAAAACCTACATTTTAAAACAGGACAAGCCGGGCTCGGTGGCTCAGCCTGTAATCCCAGCGCTCTGGGAGGCTGAGGTGAGTGGATTGCCTGAGCCTGTGGGTTCAAGACACACCTGGGCAACTTGGTGAGACCTCATGTCTACAATAAATCAAAAAATTAGCTGGGTGTGGTAGCGGACGCCTGTAGTTCCAGCTACTTGGAAGGCTGAGGCAGAAGGATTGCCGGAGCTCAGCAGGTCGAGCGGCCACTGCACTCCAGTCTGGGTGACAGAGTGAGACTCCAACTCAAAACAACAACAAACAAACAAACAAACAAAACGGGACAGGGCCAGAGGAGGAAGATGAGAAGGACCACCTCCAGAGTCGGAGGCTTTAACCTTTTCCCTCCAACCTTGGCTCTATAAATGGTAGTCAGATTCAGAGCCTCTTGACCTCTGAACCCTCAGTCTCTTCCTCTAGATGGAGTGGGGACCAATCTGTTCAGACAGGATTGGGAGGATGAAAAGAAAATGTCCCTTGTCAAACACGTGGAGTTGGCTATCATCTTGCACAGGGCTGGGCCAGACTCTGGGTATGAAGGGGCACCCGAGAACTGTGAGGGGCCAGGCTACACCCCAGGCCATGCCTCACCCCCAGGCCCCACCCCACCTCCAGCCCCCAACTCACCGGTTCTGCTCTTCGAGCTTGGCCAGCAGCTCCAGCTCATCGGGGCTGAGGTTCTCAGAGTCAGAGGTGGGGGAGCAGGTGGGGGCTGACAGGGCCTCCTGGGACGAGGAGTCGGGGCTCAGAGTGGGGCTCGCCATGGTGGGCGGGCTCGTCAGTCACTAGCAAGGCCGGTTCACAACTCTGTCTAGGGGCGGGAGACACGTGTGGTTGGCACTGGGTGGGTACCTACCCGTTCTGCCTACCCACCCTGGGGACAGTCCCTGAGTCCCAGCTTTCCATCTCTGGCCTACCCGCTCGGTGCATCCCTCACCCCCATGCCCCCAGCCCAGCTGACAGCCATGCCAGTGCCTATTCCACACCCTGACAACTGGTATCCCCATCATGCAATCAGGCCAGACGTCTGGATGGAGATAGGAGAACCACGGCCAAGACCTGCGCTGTCCTGCTGTCCCTGGGTATATCAGCCAAGGCCTAACTGGACACCCCTGAGTCTGAAGCAGGGCCCAGGGTGGAGACTGCCTGTCACTTGTGGCCCCAAGGACCCTGCTGGGACCTCGGGGTGCAGGGATCTGATTTGGTGGCCCTTACTGACAACTTGGCCCTTTCCCCGCAATGGCCTGTCCTGGGCACCCCGCATCAGCATCTGACCTTCCCCATCTCATCAACCAAAGTGCGCTGCTGGCATGGACAGAGCAATTATTCTTGACTGTTAATTGCCCGGCGCTGCCAAGGGCCGGAAACGTCGGCTCCCCTTGGGCTGGGAAGCCAGAGACACGACAAAGTGCTGAGGATCTGTGCCCTGGCGGACACAGAGCCAGAGCTCTAGGCTCTGTTCCGTATTGCCATCTCGGCCTGCCATGTGCAGGGTGAGTGCTGGGCGCCTCTCTGCTATCCTTTAGAGATGTGGTCTGGCCAGACCCTTCGGGGGTTTCAGGGACATTGGCCTCTTGCCTTCTGCCAGGCTAGTGGGTGGATGGTAGATCAGCACCACGTTGAAAACGAAGACTCCGGGCTCAAATGGACCTGTGTCTGGAGTGTGGCTACCTCTCAGCCAGCTGTGTGACCTTGGGCCAGTCACATAGCATCTCTGAGTCTCCATAGACTGGGATCACACAGGACCTACAGGACACGGCTGCCCCATGAACACTGGCTGTTGCTATCCATCCTGAGGCCAGAGCTTCCGGGTCCTGCCATGGTCTGTGTGGGGACAGCCAGGGGCGGCATCACCCCGATAGGGAGCTCTAGAGGTTGGGACCAGCTATGGGAGCAGAGACAGGGGCTGGGGTTGGTGCTCCTTCATGCTTCTTCCTGGAGAGCCCAGGCTAGCACCCAGGGTCTGAGGAGACAGGGATACTCAGGGTCATGGAGGCAGGAAGGAAACCCTGTTCCCACTTCCCGAATTTTTTTTGAGTCAGGGTCTCCCTCTGTTTCCCAGGCTGGAGCATAGCGGTGCCATCATGGCTTCCCACAGCCTCGATTTCCTGGGCTCAGGTGAACCTTCCATCTCAGCCTCCTGAGTAGTTGGGACTACAGACATGTGCCACCAAGCCTGACTAATTTTCTAATTTTTTGTAGAGACAAGGTCTAGCCCAGGCTAGTCTCAAACTCCTGTGCTTAAGGGATCCTCCCACCTTGGCCTCCCTAAGTGTTAGGATTATAGGCGGAGCCACTGTGCCCAGTCCCACCTCCCTACTTTGAATGGCCCCTTCATGCCGGTCCATGACCTTGCATGCTGTGTACCAGGAATCTGCCTTGAGCCCCTGGGCCCCACCTGACCTGGCTGACAGCTCAGCCCACAGAGGAGGCCTCAATGGGCCCCTGGAGAGGGTGCATCTGGTCCCCTAAGCAGCAGGGGACAGTGACAGGACTGGAGCAGAGCACTGCACACTTGCCTGGCCACTGGGCACCTTTCCGCAGCCCAAACTCAGCTTCCAACCGACACCTGAGGGCCCATGGGTTGGCTAGACTTGACCCTGGCTGTTCCAGTCCTCCTTCCGGTGCTGACTTGTCATGGGGATGGGGTGGGGTATACGATTCTTTTTCCTTCTCATGGGGGCCTGGAACCCTCCCTCCCCAGGACTCTGTGGCTCCCCAGGGACACTGGTTTTACCTCTGGCCCTTGAGTGTGCCCCCAGTCTGTCAGGTGGGAGGGTTCTGGGTTTTGGTGAATGGCAGGAACCCTCCTGCTGCCCAGGGGAGTGGGGACCACCTGCCCCAAAGGCCAAGCCACTGTGCACTACCAGCCTGAGAGTTAATCATTCCCAAGAGAGGGACAGTGGGGGCTGCTCCCGAACCTCCTGCAGAGTCAAAGTCTGCAGCCAGCAGGGGCAGAGATGGGCTGTAAACACAGTGGTGGACCCGAAGTGCTGACCAGAAGGATCTCTGGGCAGGGAGGGGCTGAGGAGGCAGCTTCAGAGCCGGGAGAAGCGGGAGGAGGTGGTGGAGGCCAGGGCTGGCACTGGATTTGGGGAGCAGTGAGCTCTTGCTGAGCCGAGAGGACCCAAGCCCCAGAGCACATTGGTTTTTCTCCCCCAAGAAGCCAAGGCCCGTCCACTAGTAGAGGCTGTCCAGCTATTTAGCACACATAAATGCGTGTTTCAGACAGGGAAGAAAATGTATTAAATACACGGGGCTGAAATTTGCAGTCCGAGAGGCAGGAACTTTCTGATCTACCAGAACTTTCTCTTGACTCATCCACAGACTCTAAACACTGCCCAGTCCTGGAAACCATCCATCCTCCTGAAGTGTGCATGTGCACACACACACACACACACACACACACACACACACACCTCACACACCACACTCCCTCACTCATGCACATGCTCATTCACATCCACACACTCTTGCACACCCACTCTTACACACACAGTGCACACACTCCTACACACACACCCATGCCCATTCACACACATACTCACACACATGCACATACTCAGATATATACCCATGCCCAGTCACACACACACTCACACACATATACACTCACATTCTCAGACACACACACACCCATTCACACACACACTCACATGCACATACTCAGACATACACACACCCATGCCCATTCACACACACCCATGCCTTCACACACACACACACACAACACACATACACTCGAACACACACATATCCATTTACTCCCCCCAGAAAACACATGTCATTCACACGCACACTCTTATACCCCATGCACGCACACACTTATAACACTCACCCCCCACTTCCTACACCCCCCCCGGAAGCAAGTGGGTTTGGGTTGGAGGCTAGCTGGCTGCCAACCTGCCGCCCTGTCCCAGATGTCATGGCTGTCACTGGCTCACTCATTCGTTCCTGGAGCCCACTGAGGGCCATCTGAGGACTGGGCTCTGTTCTGGGTGGAGGACATGGTGTGGAGGAGGTACACCTTGGGTCTGGATCCCAAGTCCTCAACTTCGATGCTTTACCTCAACTCTACTTCAGCTGTCTGAAGGAGGGTCTTGACCCCGGTCCCTACTGGCCCCACCTGTACCATGCCTCTACAGGGATTCCCACAGTCTAGAAAGCTAAGCCAGGCCAGAGAGCTAGGAAGAAGCTGTACTTGGGAGGGGGGAGATTTGAGGGGCACACAGGGACAGAAAGTTCTGGAATGCTGGGTATCTTCCACTTCCCTTTCTCTCTCCCCCTCTGGGCGTATGAACACTGTGGGTCACGTGTCTCCCTTCCTAAAGTCCCCTCCCCCCGGCTGATGACACTGGGTTCCTGGTTCTCTGCCCACCTCTCTGGTCAGGGTCCCTCAGCCTCCCATGTAGCCTCCCTTCCTCCCCAGGTCCTGCCCTTAGCTTGGGACCTTCGTGCCTTTAGGGATCTCACTCTTGGGGCTTCAATGACCAAATATATGTCACCAGTTTTTTCTTTCTCCCAAGCACCAGCCAAAGTTGCCAACTGGCCCCCAGTGGCTCCCTCAGATCCCAGCCCATACACCCTTCCCCTGTTGCTGTGTTTCCCCCACCAGAGCAGGAATGGCCCCTGGCCTTCCAGAGTGTCCAGAGGAAGAGACTAAGAAACAACTACCCAAACTCCCCATCGCAGACTGAGATAAATGCCTGGAATAAAAGATATGATAGGATGGAAAACATGCAGGCAGTTCTTCAAAAGATTAAGCATTGAAACATCATATGACCCAGCAGTCTGGGCATGGTGGCTTACGCCTGTAATCCCAGCACTTTGGGAAGCTGAGGTGGGAGGATTGCTTGAGCCCAGGAGTTAGAGATCAACCTTGGTAACATAGGGAGACCTTGTCTCTACAAACAATCAAAAAATTGGCGAGGCATGGTGGTGTGTGCCTGCAGTCCCTGCTACTCAGGGAGGCTGAGCCCAGGAGGTCGGGGCTGCAGTGAGCCATGATTGTGCCTCTACACTCCAACCTAGACGACAGAGTGAGACTGTCCACTGGGGGGAAAAAAAATTAACATACAACCCAGCAATTCTACTCCTAGGGGTCTACACAGCAGAATGGAAAAATCTGTCCACACAAAAACTTGTGTGTGAGTGTTTGGAGCAGCAGAATTTTCAGTACCCAATAAGTGAGCACAAGCCAAATGTCCATCGATGGATGGATGGATCAACAAAGCACAGTCCATCCATACAATGGTAAGATGGCATGGGTCTATTTGCTCAGCCAGGAAAAGGAAGGAGGCTCTGACACAGGCTACAATGTGGATGGACCTTGAGGACATCACGCTCAGTGAGAGAAGCCAGACCCAAAAGGCCCCAGAGCGTAAGATTCCATTCATGTGAAATGTCCAGAACAGGTGACTCCACAGAGACACGAAGTGGGCTGGGAGAGATAGGAAGTAGAGAAACGGCTTAATGGGTACAGGGTTCCTTTGAGGAAGATGGAAACGTTGTGAAACTAGATAGTGGCAATGGCCGCACAATGTCATGGATGGACTCAACACCACTGAACTGTTTACTTTAAAGGGATGAATTGTATGCGGTGTGAATTAAGCCTCAATTGAAAAGAAGACCACAGGGATGGAGTGGGCTGACAGAGGGACCATGGGGTAGAAGCATTGGGGTGGGGAACTCCGGAAGGAGCTGGAAGGTCAGGGTAGGGCATGTGGGCTGAGGCAGGAACCTGACTGGGCTTGCTTTTTTGTATGTCTTGGAATCTCACTCTGTCACCCAGGCTGGAGTGTAATGGCACGA